GGAGAGGGAGCCGGGAGAGGGAGCCGGGAGAGGGAGCCGGGGAGGTTTTTTCTCATTGGTAGATCACATGTAGCTCGTCATTTGAAGAGTAGATCTTAACACAAAAAATTGTGGGCACCCCTGCTTTAGATCCTATCCTTGTGACGTTCTTACGTTGTATCCAGATAGAGAGTGTGGATCTTCCGTCCAATCAGAGCCGGGTAACGTTCCATGGAAGTGTCTGCGCGGAAGTCTCCGGTGTGCAATACGTTGGTCCCATTCGGGAGAATGAAAAGCAGCAGCACAGCTCCGGGGCAGCTGTATATGGACAGAATAATGAGAGAAGGCTTTATATTACTCGTCATTATGGTTAGATATAATATGAAGTGCTCTCCATCATTTATTTTGTCCGGGTGGGATGAAATATACAGGTGACCCAAAGAAAAAAAATAATTCAGAAATAGGGACGTAAGGGCAAATGGTTTACAAAATCTACATTATAATAAAGTCACTTTTTAGTGCACACAAACAATGTGATCTCTACACTGTCACATCATCTTCTAGACCAGGGGAGGCAAACTTCAGCCCTACAGCTGTGATGAAACTACAAATCCCATTATGCATCTGCAAGTCGTCCCTTTGGTTGTCAGAGTCTTGCAATGCACAATGGGATTTGTAGTTGCCTCGCAACTGGAGGGCCGGAGTTTGTCTACCACTGCTCTAGACCATCCTCATTACGGGGATTACCATAGTCTGAGAGCGTTTATCAACTTTATTATAAATAAAATCACTTAAAAGCATCAGAAACCTCCCTGTCCAGGCATAATGGTGTCCTGCAAATCTACAACATCAAAATATATTCCACCGATACAAACTGCAGCTGGTAATATAAAAGGGGTATTAACAGAATGGGGATATTTTACACCCATTATATAAACAACTGCAGCTTCTATTAGTGGAATACTCATTCCTTAGTTGAACAAAGTAACAGTTGCATCATTTTAAAGGGACACTAAACTCCGGAGTATAAGTGACATTAAACCCTCAGATGTTTTAACATAAACCAATACTGTAATGTGCGCCTTACTGTCATCCATGGTTGCTTCCCTTCTCTTTGCTGCTCTTCCTTTTAAATCCTCATCTCTTCTCATGCTCTGCAGAACTTCTGTTTTGCAGCTGACTGCCTTGTCTCTGGAATGGATACATGGTGTCTGTGTGTAGGTTCGCAACCTGAGCCAGCGCTACAGGAAGAGGCACACAGCTGCAAAGGGAAGTTCTCCCCAAGCATGAGAAGAGATGAGGATTTAAAAGGAAGAGCAGCAAAGAGAAGGGAAACTACCATGGATTACAGTAAGGCGCACATTACAGTATTGGTTTATGTTAAAATATCTGAGGGTTTAATGTCACTTTAAATCTTAAAACTCCCTCCGAGTCCCTGAACTCTGAGCAACAATGTATCTTATTTGTGTGTCACTCGGCTGGAGATCCTCCAATCGTCTCTGACACTGTCCTTCCTTCTGGAAGGGGGCTACGTCTGTTCCCCATGGTCCCTGTGAGTGTTGTAAAGTAGTCACCGCTCCCCCCCCGGGATGGACTACAATCTCAATACAAATTAACTAGAGAGATTGTAGTCCATCCCGGGGGGGGAGCGGTGACTACTTTACAACACTCACAGGGACCATGGGGAACAGACGTAGCCCCCTTCCAGAAGGAAGGACAGTGTCAGAGATGATTGGAGGATCTACAGCCGAGTGATATACAAATAAGATGCATCTAGAAAGAAATTATGAATGGTTACGTACTGGTTGGCATCTAGCAGGATAACTTTGACATTGTCCACTATGCACTCCGTGTCCATGGGTAAGGTCTTTATGAACTCCTTCTCCACCCGCAGCTTACTTGCCACTAGATTACCCGTGATCTGAAACAAAAACACAAAAAAAAACAAAAAAAGGTTAAAGCCGAAGATTCCTCTGCTTAGCTTAGTGGCAGCCCTATAGAAAAAGTACAACTGATGTTACTTCACCTTGCTGCAATAGATGGGATTACGGAATTTCTTGGTGAGACCTCCATAGTGATCCGAGTGAAAGTGGGTGAGGAAGTACGCGGAGCACCCTTCTATTGCGCCGTACTGGAAAGCATCAACCGCAAAACCCGTGCCTAAAAGACAAAAGGATGATGGCATTAGAGTTCCACTATTTATACATATCGTGTACACAGGAAGGAAGCTAGAAGGATAAGGATCGGTTACAGCAATCCAGTTACCAAGAAATATAACTGCAGATACCAGTACGTAAAGTGACTCTGGTGGAATAAAGACAGACAATGCATCCAAATTGACTTCCTGAGAGTACTTTAGTTCCCTTAACACCCACAGTTCTCTATTAAACATCATTGATCTTGGGCTTACATCTACCTGAACATATAAACTGCCTGTCCAAAAAAGTCACACGCTCTAATATTTTATTGGACTGCATTTTTTGCACAGGCATACTCGGTCCGCACCAAGCACATCACTAGTTCAGGGTTTCTCTTTAAGGCCTCATTCACACGAGAAAAGGCCGGCACGTACAGCTCCATGCTGCGTGCACGGCCATATCAGGCAGCTCCCGGGAAGGACAGGTGCTGCGTGTGATTAGTACACAGCAGCCTGTCCTTCTCTATGGGACTATGCGGCCGTACGCCGCCCTACGCTCACCCCAAGTGCAGGTCCGTACGTGTGCGGGTGTCCCGGCTCGGACGCAGACAGGATCCATCCTATCAGCGTACGGGTACGGACACCCGCACGGACGTGCAGGGAGGGTGAGTGTAGGGCGGAGTACTCCCATAGAGAAGGACAGGGGCTGCGTTCTAATCACACACAGCACCTGTGCTTCCCAAGAGCTGCCCGATACGGCCGTGCACGCAGCACGGAGCTGTACGTGCCGGCCTTTTCTCATGTGAATGAGGCCTAAGGAATTATAAAGTCACGTACAAACACCGCAGGGCACCTGTCACATTGTATTGTGCTTTTAAAGCTTTGTTAATCTACGCTCGAGACGCCTTCACTCAGACGGAAGGATCCAATGTGCCGCCCGAAGGATCCAATGAACTGAAGAAAGGATCCAGTGATACAAAAAAAAAACAAAAAAAAAACACAGCTACTAAGCACTAAAATTATATGCGATATAATACAAAATATATATGCAGTAGCTCGCCACATTGTTGCACATATGTTTTCTGTATTACTGCAATGCAATTATAAAGTACCATAATAAACACAGATATGAAGATCTGCACGTTCACATTGAGGCTCTCCTTTTCCTAAGTTATAAAATAGGAATCTGATTAATGTGGACAACACACAACAATAACCCTTTGCAGACTACTAAACACAATGTACAGATCTATATGTAGCCAGTTATGTGTTAAAAAGCAGAATTAGTTTGCAAATACTGAAATTAAATGTGCCAACTGCAAGCAAAGTGGGCAGAATGATGAATATAGATCTAAAAAGAATAAAAACCCCACTATAGACAAAATATCAAACACGAAGGGGGAAATTTATCAATACTGGAGCAACTGTGCACGGCAACCAATCAGCTTCTATCTTCAGTTTGTTCAGTTAAGATTTGAAAATGAAAGAGAGAAGCTGATTGGTTGCCGTGCACAGCTGCTCCAGTTTTTGTCTGCTCCAGTTTTGATACATTCCCCTCATAAGGCCTTATTCCCATCTGCACAACATTTTTGAAGCACTACATTGCAGTCCAGCCTGCTGCATTTTGGAACTTATTTCAGACATCTTCATGAGCTTTATAAAAGAATCACCTGGGATTTTCTTGTAGAAAGGACATTGTTTCCTCCCTTTCTTCTCCTCTGCGGTAGAGTTCTGTCTGAATCTCTTCCACTCTCTTCTCTGGGTCCCCGTCGGCGCCGTTGCTGAAACCTCACCAGTGTTATTAAGCAGAGAATCTGCATCACTCAGCGAGCCTACAGCCTTCCTCTTCCTTCTCTGGGTTCCTGATGGCGCCGTTGATGGAACCCCACCAGCGTTATCATCTAGATAACGTACGTCCCCCAGCGTGCCCACATTCTTCCTCCTCCTCGGCCATTTCTCCCCAATCTGGGAAGCGTCGGCGTTTGGGGTCAGGGTTTTCAAAGGCACCTTGGCTGGCTTAGACTTCGGTTTCAGGCCGAAGAAAACTCCAATGTCCATTTGTTTCATCTCCTTGGAGGGCGCAGCACTGCCTGATGGCATAACGGAAGAGAGTTGGCTTAGGCTTTGCTTTGCGTGTGTCCCGCTAGCGGTGAACTGTTGTGAGGATCTCTGGGTGCTCGTACAAAACTCCTTCTCTACTTTCACTGCAGCTACAGGGACCGTCAGAAGAGCCGATTCTCTATTGCCATTAGAAGAGACAAGCAACTCATCAGCTTCTACCTGGGCTGTGGCCCGTTCACTTATCTCTGAGACAGGTGTGCTGCATTCAGACCAATTATTGCCTTCAATGCTGCAATCAGCAACACACGAGCCTCCATTGCTCTGCACACATTCATTCTGTATTGCACTTTCATTATTTCCATTGCGCTTAGTGGGAGATTCGATTCTGCGTTGTGTTATAAAGTGTTCATAAGCAGGAAACTGTTCCTCTATGTCCTCTGCTGATAATTTGTCAGAGAACAGTTTTTTATCTGGGCCCGCCTCCTGGCCTTCATCGTCACTAAACAGCTCCTGGTCACTGACCAGCGGGGAGTAAGAGATGGCGCGGCCATTTAAATCCTCGGCCATCTGCGACAACCCCAGCAATGTAGCCGCGTTGACACAACGCGCAGACTCTTGCCTGGGGATTTCCTGGGAGAGGTCTAGGGAGACCCGAGACATCTTGGTTGGTGAGGAGAGCCAGGCATCCATTGAGGTCTGCTTCACCGATCCCTGAGAGCCGGCAGGGGACCGCGACTGGGAGGATTTAACGTTCGTGGTCTTTTTAGGGAAAGCGGGGGAACCGCCTAGGACTTGGGAATGTGAGCGTCTTGTGTCGTTCCTTCCGTTAGATTTGGCATGCGATTTGGTAGTGTCGGGAGCAGGCAGATCCGGGGTGAAGAGTGGAGGGAAAGGGGAGAGTGCAGAAGCCCTGCTCTGGGCCAGCAGGTAATGAACGTATCGTTTGTAGTGGGAGGCAATGGTGGACGAGCAGCTGAGGCCATCGGGGCATTCTGCAAAAACAAAAATCATAATAAAATAAAACAATACAATGTTCAGAGTCAACAGGCCACATGCTGTGAAAAGAGCTCTAAAGTATACACTGAGGGTGGCATATCAAGGGTTAAAGTGTATATCCAGACAGAACAAGTTGAGAAGGATTAGAACCCCTGTCAGGTTTCTTTGCTATGCAGGGCTCTGTTAGAGAGATTTCCTCTTACTTCCTTTCACGGTTTAGAACCCGTCAGGTTTTTCTGTTATGGGGGGCTCTGATAGAGAGATTTCCTCTCACTTCCTGTCATGGTAATAATAGTTTCATGGGAAAGGAAGAAAGGGAAAATCTCCAAAACATACTTTTTATTTCTACAACAGTTGGGGAAGGCTAGAACTCGCCGATACCAATTACCGAGTAACGGAAGTCCCATTCAGGAAGCCAGGTGGCGTGTAATGACTCGCCACCTGGCTTCCTGATTAGCCGGGCAGCGTGTAAAGAGACGCCACCCGGCTTCCCAATTAACAAAAAAGCCCCCTCTTACCTTAGTATGTGTAGCCTGTCATCCCCCGGGGCCTCTCCAGCGAGAACGCGGCCTTCGTCCGGTACCCAGCCGGAGCCATCTAGCCGGCCAATCAGGAAGCCGGGTGCCGTATAATGACGCGACGCCCTGTTTTCTGATTGGCCCTAGTTAAACCCATTGGTATGCTGACATGAGGAGTGCCCAGAAAGGAAAATTACTGTAAGTATTAGATAACAATTTTCCGTAATTCAGTGGGTTCTATCAGATGGGAGCTTTGTTTTCTATATGTTGAAAATAGCAGATATCAAACCAGGGGAAGGGAAGATGAATGTCAGGATGTCCCTTTGTCCATTCAGAGAAAGCCTTGTATTCTATGAATGTAATGCAAGATGTCTTGTGAATGGAGAAGAGGGGAGGAAGGGTGGGTGTAAAAGACGCTATCCTTTACTGTACAAGCAGGGGACCTCAGAGCAGCCGAGACAGAAGGTTAAAGCCGACAGCATATCCAGTATGAATAAAACCATGCTTTTTTGGCATCCCCAGCAGCCTTCCGGATGTAGCATTACCAGTAATTAAGCTGGAGTTCCACTTTAAACACAATGTAGGTGTTGAAGCACCCGCACTACATTGCGAGATGGGTTGGGTTGGGTTGAGGGGGGGGTGGATGCCTTAGTTTAGACTGGAAGCAGTCTGTGCAACATTGTCTACTGACAAGTTCACTTATTAAAGCCCAACTCCACTTCCACCAGCGGGGCAGCCACACAGAAACCCTCGCCGACCAATCCCCTTGACTTCCCTTGGGCCGATGTTAGTAGTCTTCTGGATCCAAAGAGGATCCAACTGGTGAACAGCCAATGGGAATTGTAAACCTCACACAGGCAATGACCTGGAAACCTGGAAGAATGACCCCCTGCATGAAGTAAACCGAGAGGAAATAAAACCCGATGCTGGATGATCATGTGACCACAGCTTAGGATAAGTGGGGGAAAAAATAGGAACTAAAGTTAGCACGGTGATTAGTGAGGGGAGGGGGGATGGGAGAGTTTTTAATTTATACTGGAGCTGGGCTTTAAGGATTATATCTATCCATATGCACTGACACTCAACTGAGGTAAGTACCTGTCTGTGCGGACGATGGGGTGTCCAAACATTCGCTCACATGCCATCGAGGCGTTTGCACCAGCAAAACGGAGAACGGCATCTGACAGCTGGGGCAATATCCGCTGTGCTTGGCTTTAGGTGTTGAAGGGCTTGCCGATTTCTTACGGTCAGTCCTCTTTGGTGTAGACAGGTCCTCGCAGCCAGTACCGGACGATGAATTATTTTGTCCCTTCGTCGGGCTGGTAACGTTGCCATTCTCGCCGGGCGGTTGAGTGTTCCTGGCGCCTGTAGTCTTCTTCCCAGCCCCCGACGTTTTCTTAGCAGCTTTTCTCTTCGTTTTTACTGCCGCCTTTGGTGTTCTCTCATTGGATTCTGTTTTCTCAAAACTCCTGTCTGCGCTTTTTTTCTTCCTGATGGATTTGTATCCCCAAATATCCTCTTCGCTCTCGGACATTTTCTAAAACTGGAAAAAAAAGACATTTAGAATGAAATGAAAATACAAATGTGTATCATGGTTTGCAT